GGGCAGATGTAGGCAGCAGAGGGCATGTACAGGGTCCAGAGGGCAGATGTACAGGGTCCAGAGGGCAGATGTAGGTAGCAGAGGGCATGTACAGGGTCCAGAGGGCAGATGTAGGCAGCAGAGGACAGATGTAGGCAGCAGAGGGCATGTACAGGGTACAGGGGACAGATGTAGGCAGCAGAGAGCAGAGGTAGGCAACAGGGCAGAGGTAGTCTACATCTGCCCTCTGCAACATCCCACATCTGCCCTCCACTGCCTATCTACCCTCTGGACCCTGTACATGCTGCTCTGCTGCATCTGTCCTCTCTGCAACCTAGGGCACATGCAGGTTGCAGAGGGCAGATCTAGGCACTAGAGGGCATGTACAGGGTCCAGAGGGCAGATGTAGGCAGGAGAGGGAATGTACAGGGTCCAGAGGGCAGATGTATGTTGCAGAGGGCAGATGTAGGCTGCAGAGGGCAGATGTAGGTTGCAGAGGGCAGATGTAGGCTGCAAAAGGCATGTACAGGTTCCAGAGGGCATGTACAGATGTAGACTACAGAGGGCAGATGTAGGCAGCAGAGGGCATGTACAGGGTCCAGAGGGCAGATGTAGGCAGCAGAGGGCAGATGTAGGCAGCAGAGGGCATGTACAGGGTCGAGAGGGCAGATGTAGGCTACAGAGGGCAGATGTAGGCAGCAGAGGGCAGATGTAGGCTGCAGAGGGCATGTACAGGGTCCAAAGGGCAGATAAGGGGTGTATGACTAATAATGGTAAAATACATGCAGAATATCCAAGTTTGAATCCATAAGTGTACAGTGGCACATGTCATGTTTGTATACTGCAACAATGGTGCACTCATGGCTTCCTAACAGGGTCTCCAGGTCATGGGCCTGAGCATTACACATCAGGGATGCAGTTGATGCAAAGGTATATCAATATGTAATTAAACAGTGACTGTTGTCTGTCAACAACACAACTGCGCTTAGTTGTTTCACCAATCTAAGACATGTGTCACTCATAAGTTAATACACTTGAACTACTGTTGGCTGAAACCCAAACTCACAGCGAGATCCCCCTTGGCTCTGGAGCTGACTTACATACTTTGAGTATGCTGTTACATACATCTAATGATATCAAGCTCAGGAAAGTATGGCTGTGAGGGCATTAATTCTTTCAATTCAATAACTGTGAAACATGGTGATGTTTCTGGAACTATAGACCAGACAAGCCAAGTTACAAACACAGAGAACCAACATAAGTACCTCAAAAATGATTTATTGAATACTGTGATAACAGGTCAAACTGTCAGGTTAAGTTTTCAACACTGAAGGACAGCATCCTCCATGGCGAACAATCTCATGTAAAACAGGCTCATATCACAAACTGATTTATCAAATATAAAATACTTCAACAAATCACATAATGCTTTTGGATGGAATGATACAGAATAAATATGTAACACTCAAAGACACACAAACATGGAAATGGATCATGGTTCAGTGTGATATTTACAATTCTTGAACACAAAATCAGAATGTACAAAATCAATTCACATGCACAAATGTATTTTGACAGATTTTTCGGATGAAACATCTAAATATTCACTGAAAACATGTAACACAACTGACAGATCAGGTATTAAGTACTGTAGCATTACAGCAAATCTAAGTTAGTTCTGTCTGTCTAAAAAGGGAAAATATGTCCCAGCATTAAGGCTGGCATTACAATCAGTCAGAAGTGGACACAGACAAGGCACAGAAAAATTGTTTCTCTGCTGAGGTGCCTGAGGTTTTGCCCGGATTATATTCACCCAAACTATGTGTATCACAAATGACTTAATTTCCAAAGAATATCCAATGTTAGCTGCCATTTATCTTAATCAACTCCCTTCAATGGAACACCAATAGCTAGACTGCTACATTGAAGGTAATCTTGAAAACACTCCTAATATGTTCTGCACATGTTGCAACACATGCCGTCAAGGTTAAGTTCAGGTGATAGATGGAAAAATCATAAACCCACTGAACGTAGCTTTGCAAGTCAATACTTTATATTTCTCTCAGAACAGCGACCTACATTACCGCAGTCAGCCACATAGCAACTAAATATCACAATGGCTGTAAAAAGTAAGGTCTGGGCCAGAAAAACAAGTGGTTGACAGATGAACAACAGTCCATACCCTTTGAAGTACAATGGTATACAATCAGCAATATCACATAGTTGTCACACATACAGTTATCAGAAGCATAATGTTCTGATGACTATTCTTACAGGTACATTGCCAGGGCTTGATTTGAAGGTTAACTAAAGTACTGTCGGAAATGCTAGAAAAATGCTTTTTAGCCTTAATATCTTTATAAAGGTGATAAATGTACTATGTTGTCAATATATCAACTCACCTATTCTCTACCTAATTTTTATTTCAATCAATTAAACATTCCCATGCATTTAAAGGGCAGTTTACAGAAGAGAATTTGGTACCAAAACAGCAACTTAAGATTTTTTCAGAGTTCAACAACAGAAATCTGAAATAGTCTTTACATTTATGCTAATAATACAGGTGGTGTCAAAATATGAATTAACATTTTTTCTAAACAAATAAATGTTGAATGTTTGTGTTACTTTACTAAATTATCGTTTCTTTATTGAAGAAATATTAATATAAATGTTAAGTCTTGATAAATAAGTTTCCCGTCATGCATGCACATCTTTATCACAGCGTCCACTATGGCCAAGGCTTTGTAGTCGATTGTTGCAAAGGTTTATAGTTTATAGGTAAACCTTTCATTAGTTTAGAAAGGGTTTATTACAGAACTTGTAGAGCTGTTGGCATGTCTTACCAACAAGTTTACAATATTGTAAACAAATCAGACAAGACAGGGACCGTCTCAAATGCAAAACCGGGACATAAAACCATCCTTGACAACTTTGACAAGGGAGTGCTTAGACCGGCGGTCTACAAACTTTATGAGAAGAAAAATATATATATTCTAAAGAAGCTACACCAGTGACTTTGTTAAATCTTTGGCCAATGTTCACAACTAGATTAAACTGACCGAATTACATCCATATTTTTTCAATGAAATATACTGTTGACATGCAAAACATTTATTAAAACGTTGCACATTTCTACAATCAATCGATAAGATAACACAAGTGATAGGATTCTTTCCAATGTACAGTAATTCGTATGTTTATTTCACAACAAACACACATACACAAATGATCCCTTACATAACCGATAAGTATACTATACGTACACATATTCAACGTTTTGCAGAAAACATCTATTGAGATGACCCTCACCCGAGCGTGTGCTCAGGTGTCAATTTCACCTGTCGATACCGTGCATGCTGATGACGTAACACAGGCAACTAATGTTTGTATCAAATAACGTCCCACTACCCCTTATTTTTCTAAGTTTTTGGTATTTTCATCAGTAAAAACACATTTTAGGGCACGTCTCAAACTTTATTCCCTCGGTCTACATTAGGTAGATGTTTCTTGAAGTGATATTTGTTATTTAAGTAACTGTAATACCTCTGAATTTTAAATATAAGTCAAAAAGCATTTTCTAGCATTTCCGACAGTACTTTAGTATTGCCCTCAGGTGCAGTTGTTGTAATGGGAATGACCACATGTAACACGAAATGAACCTCTCATGACTTTTCAGGGAAACTAATGAAAATATTATAAGTTGTGAGCATATATACTTTAAACATCCATAAAAACTGATATGTTTAAATTCTAATAAATAATTTCCATCAAAAGGTTTTTGAAAAAAACAAGATGAAAAAAACCCCAGGATAACATTAATTTCAGAAAAAAACACTCCTTGGGAAACTTGCCTGTATATCAACAAAGTAATCTGAGTTAGAATATCTAATACTTATGGCATGGAATATGATATAATAACAATCAGCCTACGGAGATATCCTTCGCACAAACACTGCACAACTAAATGAAGAGTAATACTAAATTTGAAGTCCTATGACAAAATGAATCCATCTAACATATCTCCAACAAGTGTCAAATGATAGATGTGAAGGCTGGTAGGGTTTTACACTTCTCATCTTGCAAACAGTTCAAGGTATACTTATTACAAATAACACAAGGCAATTGAAACTTAATATGTGTATGAATTTAATTTCTCATCTACCTCTGAGCTAGATCAGTCAATACAGTTCACTTATCATACGCATCCTTTCACAAGTAATACTATGTATGGGGAATATGTGTCAAGATATTACTTTCCAGATGCTTTTACATCAACAAATGTTATTTAATCCCTTACTTCTTTAAATTTATGTTTGGACTAAATCTGGAGCATCTTTCCAGCTACTGTTACAATAATGCAAGCTCAGATCTCTTAAAAACATGAGAAATTAATGTGAATTGTTATGTCTTTGACATTATGCTGTATCAAATTACCTTCACGGACACTAAGTTTTCGTTCATAACATCTTTTCACTGGAGAGATTATGATTCATGGCTGTTAATTCTGTGAAGATCAGCTCAATGCAATCAGTTTAGCTTTTGCTGATACACATATAGGATTTCTCATAAAGAGGTGTGCAACAGGGCTGACATGTTAGCCCCATTTACTTACTACAATAGACAGAAATAGTGAATCATTGTAGCCTAAAACAGTTGATTTATTTGAACTACAAATTATAGGATGCTTTCATAACTATAAAAGTGAGCCGAAAATATATGTTTCAGAATAAAGAAAATGAAAATGTATTACTAATATCCATCTATTAGCTATTGTTTTCCCACCTGTTTTCTTTATTGGCATGAAAGTTAAAAGAATCTGAATTCCACATTGATTTCTTGTGTAAGTTGAACAGCAGATTTACAGGATTTCAAAATTGAAATACAATTTTTCATCTCTTTTTTCAGCATTCGACATCATCTGTCATGGCTCTCTAGCTTGCCAGTCACTTCCAAAAGATAAGTCCATAGTCGCACTGATGCTTTTACCAGTCCTATGTTGGTTTGTGGTGTATATATCTAACAGATTCAGACTCTGGGAATAAAAAAGTTGTAAATTTGTCAATATTGGTATTCTCAAAGACAAATTTTGTCTTCTTCAGTCCTTTCCTTTGTTACAACTGCAGGCATTAGTCTTCAAAATGATAAAATGAAAAAGTATGGCTTAAATCACTGAATGTGAATTCTTGTACTTTAAATGTAGCTTGGAACAGGTCAGTGGGTCAAAATGATTTTTACACTATACACCAGCTTGGGTCAAAGATTTTCCATTTATCCATATCTTCATGGAAACCTGTAACATCAACCCTTTTGACACATCTTCTGTCTTGCAATACATCAAGTGTTGTTTTAAGTCCAAAACATGCAAGCAATAGAATAACATACATTACCTTTATAATGATTACTAAACTATTTGCTAATTTCATAAATCATGTTGGTTAGGCTTGGCCAGGTCGCTTGTGGACTGTTATCATATAATGTCTTCTAGATCATCACTTACAGCATCTTACACTGGCAATAACACTTCATTAATATCTGAAAGTAGCTCAAGGACGGAATTTGAGTATGAGTGCTTTCATTATAATACTTCACACAGAGTGATCTCCCCTTTGGCTTCATGACCTCTGCTACACCGACCAATCAGCAGTCGTGGCACACTGTATTATGTCCTGACTATCATATTGTCTCATACTGTGTCACACATTGAGAAAATGTTAAATAACCATCTGAAATCATTCAAATATAAAAAGGAACCTCAAGATGTAAAGATTTTCCCTGCATCGAGACTTGCGGTATCTTCTTGACACTTGGGTCTCCTGGGAAGGTCTTGAGTTGCATTTCTTCATTTATTAGTTGTGTTTCGGAGGGAACTGGTGTACACACATGTCCTATATTTGTTGTGGATTAAGAATGGTGAGATGTTGGCTTGAGATGGACAATGTCCAGCTGACTCCCTGGCATGAGGTGGTCAAAGAAGAAGGTCAGCAGCTGATGAGACTGAAACAAGAGAAACATATCAGTAAATACAAGCCCTCCTGTGATGTTTCATATAATATAACACCTATGGGAGCCAGAACAGGTCCCCAGTATCTAGGGGTGGGTATTGCAGAGAATTTTTATATTGCAATATATTGCGATGTGAAAGCATATATTGCGATATGTATTGCAAGAAGTTTTTTGTAACAATAAACTACTTATAATCGACATAATTGATGGGCATTTTAGAAGTTGAGTTGATGAAGAATAATGACAATTATTATGGATATACAACTTCTTTTATTCTGTGGAGGCGACGTTTCGTCATAGGTTCTAATGTCGTTGTCAAGCAAGTAATCGCTTTATGTATAAATAAAACACAACAAAATTACTTTGCTTGATTAAGCTTTAACAAAAAACTTTTAATCATGACAAAATAAAAATATAAATAATATTTGGCACAAATGAAACAAGGAAAACATCAACATAGTGGTTACTAGTTTGAACTGGTGTCTCCATTCTCAAAAAAAGCCCTGAGATTTTAGACAGCACTTGACCTGGGCCTAGATTTTCGAAGCTCTCTTAGCGCTAAGATAGTCGTACGTGCCATACATTTACATCAACTTACGACTATCTAAGCGCTAAGAGAGCTTCGAAAATCTAGGCCCACGTCAGGACATATCAGGGATCATTGGTCATTAATGAGTAAATATTTAAAACATTCATAGCTTTGGCCAAGGGAGCCATGCCAATATACACTTGTCAGAGGGGTACACAAAGTATGTGACTACTAGTTGTCTGATGTCCACTTTTATGGAAGCCACGTTGGCTGAGTGGGTTAGATCACTGACTTTGTATGCTGGTGATTAGGTGAGTCTCTCTGAGATGGTGGGTTTGAATCCCAGATGGGACTCAATCCCCAAAAGTACTAGAATCTGTACTTTACTGAAAAACTGTAATACCAAATATGACCTTTCAGTCAAAGGTTCGTCTGTTCCACTCTGGAATATTTATAAGCTATTGTGATCCAGTTTCAATGTTAAGCGTTAACAGCATTCTTTGTTTTCATATAATCATGTGCGGTTAAAACATCCACTGGTTCAATTTATATATTCATAGGCATGGAATCGGGAATCAGCAACAACAAGTTTCTCTGTTCCAACAACATGAGATATCCTGTATTTCCAGACTTGCAGATGTTAATCCTGTTATTGAGTATTTGTACCCTGGAAACTTTATCTGTAATTGATAGTGTTACCAGATGATAGAAATACAAATGTCTGGAAACTGAATCCTCAGTACCAGGACGTGGCACTACTGAAAACATGTTTATTGACAGTATAAATGAAACAGTCATGGGGAATATTCCATTGCACTATCATGATGTCAGTCACATTAGGTTGTGGTGACACAGACAACCATCAATTACAATTACAGGGCATGCTTACATAACAGAACGGCAGAGTCGCCCACAGTTGAATAAAGGAAAGGGGTTGAGTGTGGTCTGTGGTGGGGTATGGTAGGGTGTAGTGTCGTTGGGTGGAGGGTACCGGGATGTGGTTAGGGTGGAGCGTGGTGGGGTGTGGTTGAGAGTGGTCTGTGGTGGGGTATGGTAGGGTATAGTGTCGTGGGGTGGAGGGTACTGGGATGTGGTTAGGGTGGAGCGTGGTGGGGTGTGGTTGAGAGTGGTCTGTGGTGGGGTATGGTAGGGTATAGTGTAGTGGGGTGGAGGGTACTGGGATGTGGTTAGGGTGGAGCGTGGTGGGGTATGGTAGGGTATAGTGTAGTGGGGTGGAGGGTACTGGGATGTGGTTAGGGTGGAGCGTGGTGGGGTGTGGTTGAGTGTAGTCTGTGGTGGGGTATGGTAGGGTATAGTGTAGTGGGGTGGAGGTTACCCGGGATGTGGTTAGGGTGGAGGGTGGTGGGGTGTGGTTGAGAGTGGTCTGTGGTGGGGTATGGTAGGGTATAGTGTAGTGGGGTGGAGGGTTCTGGGATGTGGTTAGGGTGGAGCGTGGTGGGGTGTGGTTGAGAGTGGTGTTGTGGGGTGGGGTATGGTAGGGTATAGTGTAGTGGGGTGGAGGGTACTGGGATGTGGTTAGGGTGGAAGCGTGGTGGGGTGTGTGGTTGAGAGTGGTCTGTGGTGGGGTATGGTAGGGTATAGTGTCGTGTAGTGTGGAGGGTACTGGGATGTGGTTAGGGTGGAGCGTGGCGGGGTGTGGTTGAGAGTGGTCTGTGATGGGGTATATGGTAGGGTATAGTGTAGTGGGGTGGAGGTACTGGGATGTGGTTAGGGTGGAAGCGTGGTGGGGTATGGTAGGAGTATAGTGTATTAGTGGGTAGTGGAGGGAAGTACTGGGATGTGGTTAGGGTGGAGCGTGGTGGGGTGTGGTTGAGTGTAGTCTGTGGTGGGGTATGGTAGGGTATAGTGTAGTGGGGTGGAGGTTACCAGGGATGTGGTTAGAGTGGGCGTGGTGGGGTGTGGTGGTTGAGAGTGGTCTGTGGTGGGGTATGGTAGGGTATAGTGTAGTGGGGTGGAGGGTACTGGGATGTGGTTAGGGTGGAGCGTGGTGGGGTGTGGTTGAGAGTGGTCTGTGGTGGGGTATGGTAGGGTATAGTGTAGTGGGGTGGAGGGTACTGGGATGTGGTTAGGGTGGAGCGTGGTGGGAGTATGGTAGGAGTATAGTGTAGTGGGGTGGAGGTACTGGGATGTGGTTAGGGTGGAGCATGGTGGGGTGTGGTTGAGTGTGGTCTGTGGTGGGAGTATGGTAGGGTATAGTGTAGTAGGGTGGAGGTACTGGGATGTGGTTAGGGTGGAAGCGTAGGGGGTGGTTGAGTGTGGTCTGTGGTGGGGTATGGTAGGGCATAGTGTAGTGGGGTGGAGGGTACCGGGATGTGGTTAGGGTGGAGCGTGGTGGGGTGTGGTTGAGTGTGGTCTGTGGTGGGGTATGGTAGGGTATAGTGTAGTGGGGTGGAGGGTACTGGGATGTGGTTAGGGTGGAGCATGGTGGGGTGTGGTTGAGAGTGGTCTGTGGTGGGGAATTGTAGGGTATAGTGTAGTGGGGTGGAGGGTACCGGGATGTGGTTAGGGTGGAGGCGTGGTGGGGTGTGGTTGAGTGTAGTCTGTGGTGGGGTGGGGAATGGTAGGGTATAGTGTAGTGGGGTGGAGGGTACTGGGATGTGGTTAGGGTGGAGCATGGTGGGGTGTGGTTGAGAGTGGTCTGTGGTGGGGTATGGTAGGGTATAGTGTCGTGGGGTGGAGGGTACCGGGATATGGTTAGGGTGGAGCGTGGTGGGGTGTGGTTGAGAGTGGTCTGTGGTGGGGTATGGTAGGGTATAGTGTAGTGGGGTGGAGGGTTCTGGGATGTGGTTAGGGTGGAGCATGGTGGGGTGTGGTTGAGAGTGGTGTTGTGGGGTGGGGTTTGGTGGGGTGGGGTTGTTTGTTTGATGTTTAACACCGCACTCAGCAACAATCCAGCTATGTGGCTGTGGCCTTTGAATATTTGAGTCTGTACCAGACAATCCAGTGATCAACAGCATGAGCTGTTGGGATAAGATGACATGTATCAACGAACCTGAGAACCCAATTCCGTTACTTGTCTGTTATGACAAGCATAGGTTTCCGAAGGCCAATTCTAACCCAGATCTTCAAGAGTAGGTAAGTGAGTGAGTGAGCGAGTGGGGTTTTATGCCGCTTTTAGCAATATTCAATATCATGGCAGGGGACCAGAAATGGGCTTCACACATTGTAGCCATGTGGGGAATTGAACCCGGGCCTTCGGCGTGACGAGTGAACGCTTTAATCACTAGGCTACCCCACTACCCCTATTCAAAGGTGTGGCGTGTGGTGTGGTGTGGTGTGGCGTGGCATGGCATGGTGTGTGGTGTGGTGTGGTGTGGCGTGGCGTGGCGTTTGGTGTGGTGTTTGGCGTGGCGTGGCATGGCGTGGCGTCTGGTGTGGTGTGGTGTGGTGTGGTGTGGTGTGGTGTGGTGTGGTGTGGTGTGGTGTGTGTGGTGTTACTTAACAAAAGAATCAATTGTTTTGGCTATTAAAATCATGTCAATAAACAATTCCGTTATATGTTTCATAAACACCAACAATAGGAGTCAAATCTCTCTTTCCGTGTACAGGCAGCATGATATGGCTATTGATATCCCCTGTGTCACAGATACACAGGTGAACAGAATACCAGGAACCTAGCTGTGATATGTCACAGGAAATTTAACTGTCAAAACTGACTGACAACTGCAAAATGCAATTCTTCTTTATAACCAAAGTAGTATCAGTTTTCACAAGTTTCCCTAAACATCTCATGTAATCACTTTCCACTTGATTACATGAGAAATCATGCATTTCTCAGAAAAAAACTTTTTAAAAAATTCATCAACCTGGAGTGTTAACGGAGGAAATTAAGTAACAAGACACTTAAAGTAATTCTGAAGTACTGGATGAATAAGTTAGCCTAAAAGCTGCAAACGAGGTCCAGTTTGGGTTGTCTGCTAACAAGTTCATTGAAATATACACAAAAACAATTTCTGAACTCAACATAAACCCAGTCAAAACCTATCCTCCATATTGTAATTCAAGAACAGAAAAACTGGCAGGATGTGCTATGTATTTATGTCTAACAAAACCAGCACCCTTACAGGGCCTCACTATGAAATAGCTCCTTGATTAATAGCTCCCATAATTTGGCTTGCATTAATTCTAGTATGTGTTGTGTTGTGTATCGTGCATGCCTTGTAACAAAGTTATTGCCGGAAATTGTCACTTCCTACCTCACAGAAAGTGAACATGAATATTCATGAGCATTGAAAGGGGAGGGATCAATTAATTGATCATTGTGAACCCTGACTTGAGCAATTTATTCTGGTAAAACGTGTTAGGGACGGCAGTTGGAAGCTGATACCCTTTCTATCATTGTAATTTAAAACGAGTCTCTAAAAGGGAGTGAGGAGGAATTAATAGTAATTATTCTGGTATTTTGAAATTCTTCAAAATCACTGGTTAGCTGGCTGTCAGT